CTTAGATTTTTTTTTTGTTCTTTAAACTGCCTTTTTTTAATTGACTTCTTTTTTTTTTTGCCAGTCCTTGGGCTTGAAGTTTGGGCCTGCGCACTGTCCCTGAGCTCTTCAGCTCAAGGCTAGCACTCTACCACTTGAGCCACAGCGCTACTTTCATCTTTTTCTTTTGGTGATTAATTGGAAATAAGAGTCTCACAGACTTTCCTCCTTGGGCTGGCTTCAAACTGATCCTCAGATCTCAGCCTCCTTAGAAGCTAGGATTACAGGTGTGAGCCACTGGCACCTGGCTTGGTTTCATTTTAGTTGGGAGATCTTTACATCTTGGGCATGACTTGGAGGTTGAGAAATCAAGATTATTTTGGGATCTGGGAACCACTTTCCAATTGAATTTGAATGAATCTTTTAACTTCTCTTTTTTTCAATGTATCCCTTCATAAAGATACATGATTTACAATCTGAATCTGAAATATGGAGAGTGAACTAGAACGAACTAGCCTTGGAGTCAAGTGTATCAAAGCAGCAATGCTCACATTTTTCTCAAGCTTGCCTCCATTCTGCCTAGCTTCATCAATGACTATTCACTTACAAATTACAAATGGCCAGTCCAATCCATTGAGTTAACAAGTTGAATGGCCAAGTCTACCTTGCCGTGTGCCATACTTATTTTAGGGAACATTTGATATGAGTTGCCTGAAGAGTAATAAGCATTTGGTTGTTCTTGTCAAAATGGCATATGGTTTCCAAATGCTGGCCACATCAAAATCACCTGTAAATCTATTTGAGCTGGATTTATCCCAGGACATTATGAGACAAAGGTTTGTGGTGAGGAGCACAAATGGAACTGTATTTTGAAGAGTTCCTCATTCTATACCTTTGTTAGAGAATGGATCGGAGTCATAAACCAGGTTTTAACCCCAGAACCCTATTGTCATCTTAGACTACAGTCAGTTATTCTGCAACAGGCTGTTTTCACTGTGATTCCACTGCAATCAATAAGAGAATGAACTTCATTGAGGATAAAAACATCTATTCAAACACATATATTATCAATAAATCACAAGAAAATAAATGTTCAGAAATGCCGCATAATAACAATAATGACATTCTAAAATGTGTTCCATCTCCAATATGACATCTATGTGGCAAAACAGTCACAGTGAGAGGGAGAAAGAGCCATTTGGTCCTTGCCATCAGCTCATCTGTGGCCTTGATTAAGTGGGCCACAGAGTCCAGACAGGCCAAACAGCCAGCCAAGATTCCCTAAATCCCCAGCACCCGTGGAGGTCCATCCGGGTTCTTTACCTTTTGTGAGCAAAAGATCAGTTATGCACACTCAAGAAGGAGAGAGGCTAGACAGAAATTTTGCCTGGTACACCCCAACAATGATGGAGAAAATTGCTCAGTCTCATTTTGAAGACACATAGACCCACCCAAAGTATTCATTGTTATTTGTACATCTTAGCACATTGAACTAAGTGTTGTAATTCAAAAGTATTCTTGAAATGACTTACAATAAGGAAAGTATCTCTTAAGGGGACCCTTGCTAAAAATTATACAAGAGCAAAGTACATAAACATTTCCAAGCTTCAGCTTCTAAATTATGCATACAGATGACCAAAACATCTTTTATTAAGATGAATAGATTACTGGATAAGATTTCAGCTGTCAATAGTAAACCACCAGTAACAGAACTATGACGTATCAAACAGTGGTTTACCTAGGGGAGTTTCTTTCTTTCATTTGGGGAGCAGAACATGTTATCTCTGAGCACTTGTGTATGTAGGCATGCTGTACAATTAAGAATATTCTTTAGAATTTTTTCACAGCCATTTTATTTACTTTTTGTACCCTGAGGATCCCTATCTTCATTTTATACCGAGGTCAAATGGGGAGTTGGAGTTTTTCCACTAACCACATATGCACACTTGGACAAGCCACTTGGTGTGTCTCCATGCACTCATCTATAGTCAAGAACTAGAACTAGAAAATCTCAAAGGCTCTTTCCTTCACAGTGTCCTGGCACTATATAATATTGGGATAAATGCTTTATGCACCTATTGTATCTGTTTTTTTTCTTTTGGTCATGACAGTGATTATATAGGGTTAATCTTTGAGACAGTCTTTATAGAACCCAAAAAGGGATTTTGTACAATCAGCTAGTATCTTATTTTTGCTAGGTTGTACCTACAAGTTCAGGGGACAGCCAACAATAAAAAAAAGGTAAACGCTGCCATATACTATGTGTTGAAAACTGGGATGTATGTTTTAGCCACATAGTGCATCTATTTTTTTCTACACTTTTTCTTTTCACAATAGGATTTAGGCTGTAAATGATTAAATGATTCTTTTCTTTTTTTAAAGTGCCAATCCTGGGGCTTACACTCAAGGGCAAGAGTTCTGTCCCTGAGTTCTTGTGTTCAAGGCTAGCACTCTACCACTTGAGGTACAGCTCCACTTTTGACTTTTTGGTGGTTAATTGAAGATAAGAGTCTCATAGACTTTCCTACCCAGGCTGGCTTTGAACTTCAATCCTCAGACGTGAGCTTCTTCAGTAGTTAGGCTTATAGTAGCATGAGCCACTGGCATCCCGCTTGTAAATAAAATTTTAAACTATGTGAACTGTGATTAAGTCCTACAGGAGAGCTTCGAATCTTCTGTTTTATTTTATTTTATTTTTTTTATTTTATTTGTGAACTTCTGTTTTATTTTTGAAACAGGACCTTAATATATAGCCCAAGCTAACCTTGAACTCATAATTTCTCTGTCTAAATCTCTTATGTGCTGGAATTATAAGCACACAGCATCGTGCTTGGTTTTTCAGAAAACATTTTGACAAAGGTTATCAGTGGTCTTTTGGATCGGCTCCAAGAAATCTTGCCTAGAAGCCAGGCCTTTCTAGCTCTGGACACGAGTCTGTTCCCTCACTATTTTGAGCTCCTGTTAAATTTATAGTTAAAATGATAGTGAGGGGTGGGAAAGATGGCATAATATGCTTGAAGATTAAAAAGAAAAACCTCCCTGAACTTAAACAAACAACACAGCCCAAAACCTTGGCATTGTAATGAGGCCAAATTTAAATAGCTCAGTGTTTTTGGGAATTCTTTTTTTTTTTTTTGCTCTTTAACTTGCCTAGTTCAAAGAATCTAAGTATTTGGGTTCAGTAAAAACAAAACGAGTACATTGGGATCAAAACTCTGGAGTCAGAGCCTTGTGTGGGTAGTACTGGCCTTAATATCACTTAGCTGTAACCAATGAACAAAGGTTAGGAAGAGCCAACGACTCACTCCAAGCAGTTATCAATCTTGCAGTGGTCCTAACCCAGCAAAGCATGGAAATGGTAGTAGCATCCTCTGCTTCTGTAAGATGACAAGGGCCAAACGTGATAGGGTATTCATACCCATGAAAACGTACCCTTGACATTTAGGATGTCTTAAAATCTTCCCTTGAAAGGACTTCACATATTGTGTTGTTTAGTGTTTCTCATTTTGAAATGTTCTATTTCTCCCCATCTATCTGGACAGTTGCCATTCCCACATATTGTAAGACCTGCCACAGCTGATACAAGACTCGAAGCTGGAAGTTTCTTTCACGACTTAACCTCTGAGTCTGTGTAATCTGCTTTGACTACCTTTCAGAAAAGAACAATTCAAGGACCAGGCAGAACATAAGCAGAAGGATGACAGTCCTGGTGGTATTCAGTTTGGGGCATAATACCTTCACACAGAGAGGACAGGAGCTGGGCATGAAATAACAGCAATTTTTAAAACCAGTATTTGTAACACAGTAAGCAATCTAGATGAGATTTCTGGAAGAGAACGAGCTAAGCCACTCAAACATAGAACAAATGTGCTTGACTGGCATTTGGAAGGCAGAAAGAAACTCTCATTAAAATTTAACATCCACTTGGCCAGACTTCGGGCTGAACTGGAAGAGCAAAATACTGCTTAGTAAAAAGCCAGCAATGTGGGAGTGATGTGGTTTCTACTCCGAAGACTGAAGTAATGAAAAGGCAAAGTGGCCAGCACATTCCTTCATGGCAGGTCTACAGAATCTCAAATTCCAAGAGCTATTTCCTACCAAGTTTTGCCACTGCACCATGGCTTTTCCTTTCAACATGCTTAATAGAGAGGCACATAGACTAGATTTCAGTGGAAGCATGGGATACTCAGAGTCTACAACTGTCTAGAAGGAAACAAGCAGGTGTTTATGTGGGTGGCAGTCTGCACAGTTACTGAAAATGATCTCACCTCAGAATTATTCACACGAGGGCCTACCTGGCCAACCCCATGGCTTTTCCCCTACCCCAACCCTTCTGTTTCTTAAAAATCTCTGAATGGGCAACACAGTCCTAACACTTGATAGAGAATACAAGATTCAAATGGCCTAAACATGCCTCTTCCTTTATGTGCCCTGAGCTCTTAAGCAGACTCGTCACCTCCACATTCGGGGAGAATGCCCAGTACAACACCTGGGTTGGGATTACAGGAGGCAGTAAATCTAGGCCAGAATACCCTTGGCTGGTGAGCCCACAGTGCTATTATCTGCCACAATTGCACTCATGCCAACAGATGCGATGCCACCTGCCAGACACTTCCTTTAGGCTAGTGAAAGATGTACTACATCACAGGTTACTCACCCAAGACGGACCACCTCTGTAAAATGACCCTATGGATGAGGGAGGACTTCATAAGAGGCATTTCTTATAAAAGTCATCACGAGGGATTCATCAGTTATCAAAGTTACCCAGAGCCTCGAACACATCAAATACAGGTGCAACACACACAAGCAAAGCTAATTCAGTAGGGATTCCTAGCAAATTACTAAACTCCATGGTGATTCAGCAAGGGAAATGGAGATATTGAGAGGGGTAGGTAAAGGTAGAGAAGGAGAAGAGGGAAGGGGAGAGGAAGAGAAAGGTAGGAAGGAGAGGAAGGAGGAAGAGAGAGAGAAAGGGAGGGAGAAAACAAAGGAAAGAAAGGAAGGAAGGAAAGAAGGAAATAGATCCCACTGGCAAAATAAATTCTGCCTTAATTGTCCAGAGCCCTCTGATCATTTCCAAGTGCAGCTCTACACCTCAACCAGTGGGAGGCAGTTTAGTAAAATACAAACACAAAAATAATTTAAACCATTTTGTTATCAGCATATTTCCAAACGCAACATTCCCTTTTATCAACCAAGTTTAAATTGTGTGGCTTCAATGCTTCTGTCCTGTTAAGTCTGCTAAGTCCATTCAGAGAGCAGTGCGAAAGAGGGAGAGAAGACATCTTTCCTTAAGTGGCAGACTTGCCTTCTAACACAGTCTCTAGGGCTCTACTCTGAAGACTATTCAATTCAAGTTGGGGCACTTTTTAAACACCATTTTGGCACTTTCCGTTGGAGTTCTTAGGCACAGTGTGACAGAGTCAGCTTGGTGAGCCCCTCCCCATGCATTCGGTACAGTAGCTGAAACTCAGCAGGAAGCTGGTGGGACTCCTGCCACTTGGTGGTAAATTTGGTTCCTTTTTTATCATAGTAATGGTACGGAAGATCTTCCTTGGTGTTGGGGTCAAATCCGAAAGGCCAGAATCCATACAAGTGTATCTCTTCACATATTGCTGATGCCAGGGTGTACATAAGAATGCCTGTGCTCAGCCGTTTGGGCGACAAATGTTTGTTTCTCCAGTACCTGTGAAACGATAAGTACATGTGGATTCAGAGGCCAGTGTTGGAAGGTTTTCAATCAAATAGGTCAACAGGACTGGGCTGGATGGGGATTGTCTAGACTGGTCAAGTGGTGGGGATAAATCCATCTTGCAGTACAATCCTACTGACATTTCCCCTTCCAGATGAAACTTAAAGTCAATGACATTGAACATATGGGGAGAAAAATAATGAAGTCGAATGACACACAACAGGCTAGCAGAAGACCTGCCTTCCAATTCTGGTTCTGCTCATTTGGGGAAGTGACTTTGGGCAAGAAAAAAAAAAAAACTCCTGCTCCTTGTATGTCATTTGACTCATTTTTTAAGGTGAAACATTGGCTCCCATTACCCCTTGGAAAGGTAGCCATACTTCCTGGGAAATGGGGACAGTCCCAATTTATGTCTGCTATCCTGTTGTTCCTACTAATAGTATCCCATTCTCTGCCTCTCCTCAAAAAGGTTCAAGATTGGACTATAAATTATGGAATTACCCTTTGTTCTGGAGACACACACAACGACTCTTCCTTCATTGGGAGATTAAGTGAACTAAATTTGGAAAACGTTAGGGGACAGCAGGATGAGACTAATCTACAAGGGGGAAAAAAATCTCTAAGGATTCTCTGGTTACTAGAGAACTCTCCAAGTGGTCCCTATATTCAGACAGAATTGAAAACCAGCAGATTAGATAAAAATTTTATGTTAAGTTAATCAGTCTATCGAATTGTAAGAAATCAACAAGTTCATAAAATATTCCACATGGTATTTTGTTGTTCCTTTTCATAGGCATAAATACACTATAACTTGCAGTCATGTTATAAAGGCAGAGGTACAAATTATGACTTAATTAGATGGATTTAAACAATTTTAAGCCAATTGCCTGTTATTAAAAAAAGGAAGTATTTGTTTGGTATAAGTTAATCATTAGGAGACAGCGATTCATTTAGAGAAAATTCTTGAGTTGTGGTGATTTTCGTGTCTGCTTATTAAAAAGAAGACAAGGACTAGAGAAGGGAGACAAATGAAACATCAATCTGTCTAACACTTAGCTACCAGCTAGGAGGCAGATCAAACTTCTTAACTAGAATTACTCATTCATTCATTCACTCATTCATTCATTCATAGAAGAAAGAAAAATCTCTAAAATACTAACCTAACAAAACAAACTTGAAATATTAAAGGAACCAAACATATTACCCACCCCAACAGATTACAATATTGATTTGCTATCTGGTGGGGTAAGAGCTAAATTTAACAAAATATACACACCTGTTGACATGTTGCATTATGTTTCCAGGCCAAGCCAATTGAACCTTTAACTGACCTCTGTGTTCAACAAAAAAGTCAACTAATGTTCTGGTAACAGTTGCGGAAGTGTGGAAGAAAAACGCAGGGATCCAAAGAATGGCCCCATCAAGCTTTTTTAAACTGAGGAAAAAGTTGTTACGGTCCTGAATGGTCAAAAGATTGTTGTAATATTTTTCCAAGATGCTGGGGTTGAAAGTGGTAAGGTTGGTTTTCCTTCCAACATCTCTTTGGAAAGCCTCCGTAGGGGCAAAATTGCAACGAAAAACGAAATCGGATTTATCTATTTCTTGTCCACACTGGCTCCCTGTCAGAATCCCACTGTTGCCAACCACAGCACAAATGTTATAATGCTTATTCACAATGGGCGAAACATCTGGAAGTAGTGACCGGAAGTTATTGCTAATCGAGAAAACATATTTATGGCTGGAATAATCATAGTGCATCAGCTGTCCAATCCGAACACTATTCTTGGTCAAAGAAAAATTTTTTATTACATCGACATGCTGAAGAATTTCTTGCCTAAAATAAAAAGAAACATTAAATGCATTCCATTCAAAAAGAACTGAGTTGCCATTCCATTCAAACAAGAATCTCAGCACACAGAGTCTAAGTGAAACTAGACATTCATTACCCAAGTCTTTGAAGAGATGTACACCCATGTTCTCGCCTTTCAGTCAAGTTCTGGATATAACCTTTTTTTTTTTTTTCCAATTGGTCGTGGGGCTTGAACTCTGGGCCTTGGAGCTGTCCCTGCGCTCTTCAGCTAAGGTGAGCACTCTACCACTTGAGCCACAGCACCACTTCCTGTTTTCTGGTGGTTAATTGGAGATGAGTCTCAAGACTTTCCTGCCCAGGCTGACTTTGAACCATGATCCACAGATCTCAGCCTCCTGAGAGCCGTAAGCCACCGGTGCCTGGCCATTTCTTAGTTTTTTTCTCTACTAGAGAGGCATATTTGACCACAGAGGAGATAGATGGCAAAACTGTGTCAGAAAATTCAGGGAGAAAATTTACAAAAGCCCCAAAGAGCTTATGTTAATGCACAAACATCGGTGACTTTGAGTTTTTAAACAAAAGGACTACTTGTTTGCAGTATTCAAGAAATATCAAGTATCACTGGTATCCAAATAAGAACTAAGTATGTGAGTCAGTACAACACTATGTATTATTGAAATATTAAAAATGAGAATGGCATTGGGGATAGATGACTATTTAATAAAAATGAGGTATCTCATCTAAGACGTTTGGATAATAAAATAGGTATTTTTCTGCTTGATTTTATATACAACTTAGTGTATATAAAAATGTACTATAAAATATATTTAAAAATTTTAAACACGTGTATACTCTAATGTGAAGCATGTGTATATGTACTCTGTATGATGTCGAACATAAGCAAGGCAAGAGTGATATTTAAAATGATCTTCAGGTTGCTTTCATTTGGGCTTAAACTAAAATTGGGTGTCTCTTTTTAAAGTCTCAACATTGAGATGTGATTAGGATATATGGCATCAATTGACATGCTGAATTGAAACCCTTTGGTACAACTATTTAAAGATGGCATAAAATAAGTTAAAGAAAAACAAAATATTTAAGGGACCAATATCACACGACTTTGTTGGTAAGCTTCTCCAGTGCTAAAAAACCACACTGAAACTCCTGTGCCTTTTGCCTAAACAGTTGCAGGTATGAAATAAGATGCTTTGCATGTTATGAATTTTTAAAAATGAATTAAAATTATCTTTAAGTAGTTGTACAAAGAAGCTACAACTTAGCGAAATAGTTTATGAATGCAATGCATCTTGGGCAATGTCACCCCTTTTAACATTCCCACCCATCCCTTCCAACCCATCCCTTCTCTCACTTTTCTTAATTTTGTAGGATATACATTTCTTTCTCGCTTCTTCTCTTCATTTGTCCACCCATTTCCCCTTGATTCCACCTCACCCCTTTCAAGTATCTGCTTCCTGGTGATTATTTTGTTGAACTTTGAAAGACTTTGCCTTTCTAAGGAATTATACTATTTGAGTTCTCCCTTGAATGTGCCACATTTCAGTTCATACATCTGTATATACTTGCATACCACCCAATGTATTTACTTATGAGCTTATAAGCTAATTTTGGCTTATAAACCTTTGTCTTTCTGGGCCTGACTTATTTTACATAACATAACTTTCTCCAAGTATTTACATTTCTCTGCATGCCATAACTGCTTGGATTTTTATTTCAAACACGATTTTATTTTGTAAAGTGTAGCGCAATATAAACGGACATCTTCAATTCAGAATTTCCAAAGTTACAAATACTGTTCTTACAAGCTTTATAAAGACAAATGTAAGTGATACTGGTAAAAATGAAAGATTATCTAATAAATGGATGAAAGGAGGGAAATTTTCAGAAAAAAGCACTCTCACTGATTATTAGAGTCACATGGCCTAGTGTGGGAGAATGTTTTTATTTAGTTAAAAATGTATCAATGTGTTTTGGGGAAAGATAATGTGTTCTACCTTGAAATCATTCTGGGTTGTCTATAAAATTAATAGATTAAAACTCAACAGTTAAAAAAACATTTCTAGGGTTTAGTGTGAATTATTTTCATTAACTAATTTCTAATTAAACATAAATATTTAAAAAACTAATCATAATCACATGATGCCACCAAATAAACAGTATTTTTCTGACACCATGGATATCCACTGGAGTTGTTTAAATTCTGCCAGTAGATTACAGTTTTTAAAAAGAGTAATAACTAGAAATGCTACGACCAAAATACAACTCCATAAAAATGGTGATTTGTAAAATAAGTATTCATTCTCCTAATGAATACACTAGATGGCTCACATTGCATTGAGCAGAGAAACGCCAAGAAGGAATGAGTAATAACTAATTCGTGGTTCAAAGAGTGCATCAAAATAGCATCAAGAATAAACAAAAATTTTAATAAATCGTACATTAAACAAGGCTGCAATAATGAACGAGGTTTGACACTTTACAATCAGTTAAAAGCTGTAAAAGCCTAATAAAAACAAAAATCATTGTTTACCTATGCCCATTTGGGCTCACATCTTCACTGGTAAGTTGAGGGAAACACATCATGAAGTCTTCTGTGTTTGAATAAGTTCTCAGATACAGAATAAAAATAAATTGGATAACCTCTTTCCTTTCTTTCTTTCTCTCTCTCTTCTTTCCTTTCTTTCTCTGTTTGTCTGTCTGTCTGTCTCTTTTAATGGACAGCTTTGGAAGACCTTAGCCAGACTTGGTAATGTTGCTTAATCAAGCCCAAATTAGCAAGTGCATGGGGAATGTAAGGATATTTACAGTCTAACTGGTCCTTCTGATGTATTCTTTTGAAAGAGGCCACACATTTGACAGGGTTATCAATTCTCATCTTTTGCATTTAGCCAGGAGTGCAATGTAAAAACAAATATACCCAGTATGTGTGTGTGTGGGGGGGGGGGGAGAAGAGATAGCTGTTTTGTTGTTTGGGATTTGTTTGCTTGTTGTTTTGTTTGCGTTCCAGAATTCAACACCACCTATTGGATCTTTTCCCTCCTATCCTACCTTTGGTGCAAAAACGCTGTCCGATTAAATGTCCACTTAGGAGGTTTCTCTTGCAGTTCTTGGTTGAGAGAATTCGTAATGGGCACAAACGACGGGTCTAGAAACTTCAGCGCAAATTGCGACCTGGAGAGGGGTTGGGGGGTACAGACAAACGTGCTGGCCTCAGAGAGGGGGAGCCGAGGCTGCCCCCCCCCGCCCCAAGGTCCAAGCCGGCTGCGAGCGCGGGGTGGGGGTGGAGGGGGGAGCTGCGGAGGGGAGACGGGGCGAGGGGGGAGGGCAGAGGCACCGGCGCGGACCCCATCCCGCCCCAGCTCCTTCGGCCCACTCTCTGCTCCCGCACACTCCCGGGAGACAGAAGGGAAACTAGGGACTCTGGTCTCCATTGTCCATCCCTCCGGGTGCCGGAGAGACCATAAAATGGCCGTCACGCAGAGAGCAGGGGCGGGAGCCCCGCGCGGGGCTGCAGGCCGGCTGCGCGGCGGGGACCCGGAGTCAGCACCGCGGACAGCGCTCCCCCTCCTCCCCACCCCCTCCCCCGCCCGCGCCCGCCCCGCGGAATTGATTTTTGGAGAAAGGGCAGAGGAAACCGGAGACTCAGGGGAAGGCCAGGGGTGGGAGGTGATTCCTGCCTTAACCTTTTCCTTCCCGAGCCCGAGTGTGATCTCAGGCTCCAGCCCGAGGCGGAGACCCCCCCCCCCGTCAGGACCCCGGGAGGCCGAGCGGAGTTGGGGGGCCCCCGGGAGCTGGCCTCCCCGGCCTCCTCGCTCCCTCCCCGGCCCTGGCGGGGGAGGGGCGCGGTTCCCGGTTTCGCAATCCGAGCTCGGCTCGGACCACAGGTTGCGTTTTGCACCGGCTGCGGGAGGCCGCGCTGGGGGTGCGCCCCGGGGTGCGGCTCCACCCCGGACGGGGGTGGGCGGCCTAGAGGCAGCTCGCAGTTCGGAGGGGCGCGGGGGTGTGTGTGTGCAGAAATCCCGGAGAGGGGGAGGAGGGCGGGGAGTGGGTGGGGTGGCGGGACGGCCCCCGGGACTCGGAGGGAAGAAACCCGCGCATCCTTTGATGAGCAGAGGGGAGGAGAGGCGGGCGTGAGGGGAGTCGGCGCCTGCGCCATTAAAGCGGCCGGAGCTCGGCCCGCGGCGGGCGCGGATGGCGCGCGGGGAGGGCGCTCACCTCGCGCGCGTCCATCTGTGGGTTCAGTCATCCCGGTCCCCCGGCCTCCGCCCCCCCCCCTCCACCGTTCCCAGTCAGCCCGGCCCTCCCCCCCCATGGGGGAGGGGATAGCGAGAAAGGCAAACGCCTCGATCGGGAACAGGGGCTTGGGGTGAAGTAAGGAAGGGGAGGGGGTGGGGAAGAGAGGAAAGACCACGCATCACCCCGCTCCAGGAGTCTGGGAGAAGCCCGTTCAGCGCCCCCCCCACTTCTCCTGGTCCCCCCCCGTCCCTCCAGTCTCCCCTACTCCCTCCCTGACCCCCGCACACCTGGCCACGACCCGCAGGCCCCCCACCGCGACCCCGAGCGCAGCGGGGACCGCCGCCACTCACCGGAATCCCGCGTGGAACATGTACATTCGGGGCGCCCCCGGGCTGGCGTACTTGGGGGTGGTGAAGATGTTCTCCTTCTTCAGGGACACGTAGCTGATGAGCGACAGGATGAGCAGGGCCACGCTGAGCATGACGAGCCCCAGCACGCTGGCCACCCGGGCCATTTTGCAATTTCTCATGCCGGATTGGGCTGAAGGCAGGGCGATCGTAGGGGCAAATCGGCCCATTGAGCGGCCAGGAAGCGGCGGGCTGGCGTGTCCGCGCGTGTGTGCGCGCGTGTGCGCGCGTGTGCGCGGGCCCGGTGGGGATGGCCGGGGGCGCCGGGCGCGGCGGGCGCGGGGTGAGCGCGACCCCCGGGGCCGGGCGGGAAGATGGAGGGGCGGCGCGGCGGCGGCGGCGGCGGCGGCGGCGGCGCCGTGGCCGCGCCGTGCGTCTCCCGCCGCCCGTTCAGGATCCCCCCGCGTTCCCCGCTAGGCTGCCATCTCCGTCGCCGCCTGCAAGATAAATGTGATTGGAATAATGTTACGCTTCGATCTGAGCACAGGATTTAATTAATGAACTCTAATCTCCCAAATAACCCGAGGGAGGGGGGAGGAGAAGGGGGAGGCGGCGGAGGGAGGGGAAATGGAGGCTGGAAGCCTGCAGCCCACGCCACCGGCCTCCCGGGTGGAGGGGACTCGCGAGGCACAGTGGCTGCCAACGAGGCAGCCGCCCAAACTTAGTTTAATAGACCATTCATTCCTTTATAAAATACATCAGGAACAGGGAGATAAATAACCGGATTTGCTACCGTGGAGGATAAACACCATCTGGGTGCTTCTCAGAGATGCAGGATGGATGGTTTTTCCTTCCTCACCAGGCACCGCCCCGACTCCCGTGGGGCAGCACCTCGCCAAAACATCCCTACAAGAAAGGTCCTAGCCGCTGGGGTCGGCCTACATGGAAAGCTCTTGAAAAACATCCTTGGAATTTTCTAGAATTCCCCCCTCCCCTCCTCATCTCCCTTTTATGCTCAACACACGTACTTGCTCATCCCCAGTAAAGTTGCAAGGTGAGTGATGAGTGTCTCATCCATTCTCTGTCTCTGTGTCTGTCTGTCTCTGTCTGTCTCTGTCTGTCTGTCTGTCTCTCTGTCTCTCTCTCTCTCTCTCTGTGCCTGGCAGAATGTACTCAGCAAGTATACAAGGTGCTTGGGCCTGAGCTGACCAGACCTGGCACGTGAACCATGGTACAGTTAATCCTGACTGAAATCCCCATTCTGGCTGGAATAGGTGGCCTGAGTTACATAGAAGTTAAAAAAAAAGTTATAAATACACAAAAATCTGTTTGTTTGTTTTTCTTCAGGAGTTTAAGAAGCACACAAGACAGGCTTGCTGGGAAGGAAAAACTCACATCGCCATCTATTGCTTGACTTTAAATTTGGTTTACCCTATTTACTAGTTATACATTTTGATGTGTACTGGGAATGCAAATTAGTCCATTTGCTATTGGGTGCTCAGGGAAAGCTTACATGTTTCTTTTGAAATTAGTTTATGACCCTCTCCAGGCTCAGCTTTACCAATGGCTTGCTGCTCTAAATACTGACCAGTAAACACTCATGAAGAAAGCTGGAGGTGACACATGGGCTTTTGAGAGCCTTTCCCAATAAAGCAAGCTAAGACTTTCCCCTCTCGAGTTGGAAATACCTCTTTAGGCCCTGAATTTCTTGCCTTATAGGCTTATTAGGGCGGGCCTGGTATTATGGTCTCTTGGCGGGGTGAGCTCTGGGACTGGGACTGTAATCTTCTACAGAGCCCAGACCATGTCTTATCTTCCAACACTGTCCCACAGGGAGGGTGGGCTCACTGCTCTGGAGACCAGAGCTCTCCTGTGAAAGATTTTCTCTATTTGGATGGTCCGAAAGGGCCCAGCTCCTCCCTGGAGATAGTATATCTTGGACTGGCAAGCCAAAACCAGAAGAGGCAAAAGTTACAGCACTGTTCCCAAACAGGTTCTACTTGTGGGCAGGGACATGAGCAAAAACTGGGGGAAAGCAAAGGAAAGGATGACATTGTCCAAAAAGAAACGTACTCATTACCTTACTTATGAAATGGTAACCCCTCTGTACAACACCTTCATAATAACAGAATTATGTTTGCCTCTGTGTGTGTGTGTGTGTGTGTGTGTGTATATATATATATATAGAGAGAGAGAGAGAGAGAGAGAGAGAGATTCGGCAAGAAACAAAACATTCTGCCCCTGTACCTCCATACTCCCATCTAGTTTTTCTAGTTCTGGTAACCCTGTGTTGGGAGGGGGTGAAAATTAACAATAAATCAGAATTTACAGGGGTTATAAAGTCACTCTTAACTCCACCATGCTTAATGGTCTTATAGGGGGAAAGGATGGAAACCAGGGGACTCCTCTTGTAAGAAGCTCTACAACAGAGGGCTCATGAGAGATGTGAGCACTGACCTCTGTCTCCACAAAGTCCGAATTCACAGAGCCACATTGAGATTGGGTGAAGGAGTTAAAAGGAGATGTTCCAGTTAGAGGGAAGAGTAGACGGCAAATAAGATTATGGTGGACATGCGGAACAGAAAGAGATATAAGATGATTGCCCTCAAAGAAGTACATAGAGATCAGGCCTGCTAGTGCACACCTGTAACCCTGACAATTTGGGAAGTATAAATTGTAGGTCCAAACACCAGCTTGGACAAAAAAGCAGGAGACTTATTTGAAAAATAACTAAAGCCCCAAAGGGATAGGGCATGACTCAAGTGATAGAGTGCTTACCTAACAAGCACAAGGCCCTGAGTTCAAACCTCAGTACTGTCAAAAGGAAAAAAAATAAGGAGAGTTAGGGTCTAATTGTGAAGAACCTATAGGTCAAACTAAGGAGTTGGCGGGGGTCTACGCAAGCACAACTGCTCAGAACTGCTCCAAGTTTATCAAGAACAATGGTTATGATTTACACTGTATTGATGGAGTAGTTGGAGTAGATGGATGAAGCTGGGATGAAATACTATGGAGTTGGGATGAAATGCTGGCTCAAATGAATGTTTACTGATAGACCCAATGTCTTTCCAGCCTGACCCCATGACAGAAGCCCCAATATGCCTTAATGTATCAATTAACCAATAGGCAATTTTCTTTGATGAACCATTCCTAAATAAGGCGTCGAGGTATTGCTGGTGACCCTGCCCAGACAGCACAGATATTCTTGTGCAGGAAGCTCAGAGAGAGGCCTTATGGGAAATTCCTTTTTGGCCATATGTGACTAGAGTTCTTTCAGCATGCTATGGGCTTGGCATCTTGGTTTCCAATGAGTCTAAAAATGGCCACAAAAGAAGGATCTTGTACTCCTTTGGGCTTCTGACTTCTATTTTCCCCACAGGGGAAAAAAACACTGCATGAGTTCATTGATAGAGTCATTGCGATCAGAGGAAGTGTCAAAGTTCTGAGATGAACAGAGAGAAGAAAGATGTATGATGTCTGCAGGGATGGAGGGGCCACAGCTGGACAGAGCAAGAGTGTACAGCCACTAGAGTCAAGGCTCAGCTTATCGACACTGTGTAGATAAGCTTCCTCCTTGGAGTAAAGCAAGAACAGCCAGGATTCTTCGAGCACTTATGTGCCAGGTGCCTTCTAGACATTCTGTGTATTCTTGGTCCTATCCTATGTGAAAGGCACAACTAATCTCACTTTATAGTAGAAGAAATAGCATTAAGGATTTGCTTAAGGAGAAGATGCCTGGTTATGAAGCCACCTTTGCCACTAATCCACCGTGCTTCTTGAGTGAGTTTTAGGACAGAGGGCTGGAAATGGGAGCAATCCAGGAGGGCTGAAACCATTATTCTTTTTTTTTTTTTTTGGGTCTGGTAGTTGGCCTGAACTCTGGGTCTGGGCACTGTCCCTCAGCTCTTCAGCTCAAGGCTAGCGCTCTACTACCTGAGCCACAGCGCCACTTCCGGCTTTTTTCTTTTTGCTTATGTGGTGCTAAGGAATCGAACCCAGGGCTTCATGCATCCAAGGCAAGCGCTCTACCACTGAGCCAACTTCCCAGCCCTAAAACCATTCTTCTTTAGCAGTGGGGACCAATTATTTCTATTACTCTTAGTGATGATGAAGAAGATGATAGTGATGTCTCCAGCATGTGTTGCTCACTTGCTGTTTGTTGGATATTATACTAGGGATTTTATATAATGAATCTCATTCCATCTCTATTCCATTCTTTTGAGGATAGATAGAGAGTCCCTGACTATGATTTTTCAGCATTACAGTGGTGTGAAAATCATCGCCATTCAGTTTAAATGTTGATCTTGTTGCAGGCTGGTCACATATATAGTTCCATCCTCTCTCTTAAAAAGAAAAGATAGTGAGCTGCCCTCCCCAGTGGGGCAAGTAGTCCTAAGCTTGAGCATGTGAGACTCCGTAGAGTACTGTGTGGCCAGCAATTTTCCTTTGAATGCAGATATTCAATAAAGGTAAATATCTGTATCACAGGAGGCATCCACCACTTTATTCCAAACGCAGCTTTGTGTGAGTTGATTTTGCTCACGTGTTGGCTAACAGAAGTGTTCAGAGCCTGTCGAAGGCAGCATGTGGCTGAGGTGTATTAAGTATTCCAAGTTCATTTTTAGGTTATGATAATTTCAGTTTACAGGGAGGTGTAGAAGCAAGAAGGCAAAAACAAAAAAACAGAGTGGCAACTCCATGGCTTACTCTGGGACTGGGGAAAGGGTGATTTGGGATGGAGCCCTGTGCTGGCCGCTGGGGGATGCATCTTCTTCTCATTTATCCCTTCAGGGCCAGCACAGGAAAGAAGGCTGGGGACACGTCTGCTCTACAGCACACCTGAGTCCAGGCCAGAGAGAAGGCCAGTCCCTCGGACTGATTACTGAGGCAGATCATCTGTTCCACTGGGATGCCCGAGCTGCTGAAGAGGCCATCGTTAATTAAATTAAGTAATTAGATTAAATTAGCACATGCACATATATAAAATATAGGGAAGGGTGCACTGGGAACAGGAAAGCTCCTTCTGTTATTCTACCCTTATCTCTCAACGTCTTGGTTATCCTCCCTAGAGACACTACTGCTGTCCAGAGATTCACTATGCATCCCACAGCAGGCTTGCAGGATGCATTCATTTGCTGAGACTCGTTTGAAATGACATTTATTTCAAGGTTTCTTGCCAGTGTCTCCACAAAAGATGTTTTGCATAGCTTTGAACAGTTCAGATGTTTGCAACGATTATGTTTTCTAGAAGCGGAGGAATTACTCATTTCGTGCCCACTGATGAATGC